GGAGAAGACAAGCTCACAAGCTAAAAATTCTCAACTTTTTTAATTGATCACATTCCAAAAATTATTTTAACTAGAGAAGAAAAAGACAGATGGAAGGGAAACCATGAAGAGAAGAAGTAGAAAGAAGAATGAGAGGAAGAAATAGAGGCTAGGGGAAAACTAGCTCACAAGCTAAAAACCCCTCAGTAATTGATCACATTCCAAAAACTCTTCTTTTCACAAAGGAATTCGACCTCAATTTATAGGAGGAAGAAAGGGGAATAATATTTAATAGATCACATAAATGTGCCTCCAAAACAGCTAATCAGAACCACCAAATTCAGCCCATATTAATACTCCTTGCATAGGAATCAACAAAGAGAAAACTGAGCAGCCAACAACAGGAAAACTGGCCAGTCCATAGGGAAAATCGAGAAGACAACAGGCAAATCGAAAAGCCAATAGGAAATCCAAACAACTAGCAGGGAATCCAAGTAGGCAGTAGGGAAAACCAAATAGCCACAGGAGAAAAGGAGCAAGAAAACACAAGTAGAAATGCAATGAAGTGTACTGACCCGAGAGCACCAAACCAGGCATGATCATAACTAGATTTCCATCATAGGGCCTTACAAAATAAAATTACATCATGTCCAAAATATAAAAAAACATAAAATAACAAATCTTGACTACATCAATTCTCCCTTGGTGGAACAATGTTCTCTTGATGAGGATGCTTCAATAATATGTTGGTAGATATTTCTAACGATGAAGCCACAACTCATTAGCTTCTTGAATTGAAACTTCAGCTTTTTGATTGTTTTGATTGCCCGTTTTCTTTTTATTTATTTATTTATAGAGAGAAAGGAAGATTTGACCTCCAACATAAGTCTCTGATACCAAATTAATGCAAACTATGTCTCTGATATCAAATTGATGCAACTTAAGTTCTTAAACTAAGAGAACACTAGGAATGCAAATTAAGATACTTCCTTTCAATATATCATAAACAAACACCAAAATGATGAACACTTAGTAGAACACTAATATAGAAAATTTGTTAGGAAGTCACTTAAGAAAAAAAAATAACAAAACACAAACTATAAACACTCAGATTAACCACGAATAGTCACCTCAAATACAAACACAAATTAGAAAAGGTGCTTAAAGGAAAGGACAAAATAGCTAACCACCATAGAAATTATAATTCAACACAAGACTTTTCTCCTCCAGCAAATACCAAAAGAACAAGGCACATCATCCCTTACTACTCATAGTAGTTTAGAGAAGAAAGGGGGAATAGCATTTAATAGATCACAAAATGTGCCATCAAAATTCCCAATCAGAATCACCAAATTCAGCCCACATTAAAACTTCCTATGTAGGAATCAGCAAAGAGAAAACCAAGCAGCCTATAGGGAAAACCTAGAAGATAGTAGGGAAACAAGAAGCTAGCATGGAACTGAACAACCAGTAGGAAATCCAAATAGCTAGTAGAGAATTCAAGCAGACAGAAGGGAAAACAGAACAACCACAGGAGAAAAGGAGCAAGAAAACACAAGTGAAAAGGCAATGGAATGTATTGACCTGAGAGCACCCAACCAGGCATGATCATGGCTGGACTTCTATCATAGGGCCTTACAAAATAAAATTACATTACGTCTCTGGTACTAAATTAATGCAGCATAAGACTCTGATACCAAATTGATGGAACATAAGTCTCTGATATCACATTGATGCAGCCTAAGTTCTTAAACGAAGTAAGAGAACACTAGGAATGCAAATTAAGATACTTTCTTTCAATATCACATTAACAAACACCAAAATGATGAACACTTGGTAGGAAACTAATATAGAAAATTTGTTAGGAAATTGCATAAGAAAGAACAAATAACAAAACACAAACTATAAAACTTAAAACAACCATAAATGGTCACCTCACATGCAAACACAAACTAGGAAAGATGCTCAAAGAAAATGACAAAATAGATAACCAACACAAGACTTAGCTCCTCTGGCAATACCAAAAGAACAGGGCATATCATCACTTTCTACTCATAATAATTTAGAGAAGAAAGCTACAAGTGGAAGGAAAACCGTGAGAGAAAGTAGAAAGAAGACCGAGATGAAGTAATAGGGGTAGGGAGAAGACCAGCTCGCAAGCTAAGAAACCCTCAGGTTTTTTAATTGATCACATTCCAAAAACTCTTTTAACTAGAGAAGAAAGATACAGGTGGAAGGGAAACAATGGAGAGAAAAAGATGAAAGAAGACCAACAATAACATCAACACAATAACAACAAGGCTTTATTCCACAATGTGGGGTCAGCTACATGAATCTTTTTTCTCCATTATGTTCTGTTAAGAGTCAAATTCTCATCTAAATCTAATAAAGAAATGAAATTTCTAATATTTTCTAACCAAGTCTTTTTAGGTCTACCTCTACCTTTCTTAATATAAGTCAAATCTAATGCATCTACTTGAAATTACTAAACGACAAGAGGGGGGGGTGAATTGTAAAAATCTTTTTCTTAATAAAAATAACCCTAAACAAGAGTTCTTGCTTCAGTTGAAATTTTCCTCGATCGTGTTTCTACCAATAATTTCTCAAGAAATCTCTTTTTTTTTCTTGGAGTGTTATTTCGTGTTAGGATAGAATAAATCAAGATATTTTAAATAAAATTTTCAATCCATCAACCTTGCAAGCCAATAAATTTTCTATCCAACACCTTAAATTTGAATATTTTATAAGAAATTAACATGCATGCAACTACTTCAAATTATAATAATAACTACTAAAATCTTAAAATTGTAATAATATATAATGCAATCAAGATTTTTTTTTTTTAATTTTATTAAATTCTTCATGATTTGACAGTGATCCATACATTAATATAAGAATATGATAGTTTATTTTTTATTCATATGTTAAGTTATTAAACAACCAAATCTTGTGTATTATTGAGATATTTTTTCTTCATTTCCATCTAAAAATAGTAATTAATTTCACTGTTATCTTATCAAAAATAAACAAATTTTTAATGAAAATATCATGAGCAATTATTTATTACAAACTAATAATATCTTGAAATAATTATATGCACATATGAAGTGTTTCATTTTTTTTTCCTCAAAGTGGAGCTTTTTTTCATTTCATAAAATAAAAACTATATAAATGCATAATTTTTCAGAATAAAAAATAAGAATTTATAACACAGAAAAAAGATAGATGGGTTAAAGCTTTATTTGGAACAGTTTTCATACTATTTTTTAGCAGCTTTTTAGCACAAATTGTTTCTTTGAAAGAAGCAAAAAAATATTGGTGAAAGGATGTCTCAAATGAAGCGTAAGTTTAATGATGATAATGATGAGTGCTTTAAAAAAATTTTTGAAAAGCTTAAGAATTGATTACTTTATCCTCCTATGACTTGTATAGCCAAAATTTTCTACTACCAACTATTTTATTTAACTAATTATATGATACTTAGATATAAATGCAAGGATTTTCATGTAACATATTCATAAAAAAGAATAGGAAAATATATGATTGTAGAAGACTGGATCATGTATTGGCAAAAAAAGCAAGACTATTTAGGATTTCTTCAGAGTTGTGCTGAGAGAGAAAATATTAATGCTCTCTTCTTGCTTGGATTGAATCTAATCAACTTATATGATTCAATACTCATTATATCTTTTGAGGTTAATTATAGCATTGAACATCTATATGTTATTCATATATATGTTTCATACCAATGTTCATTCATACAAATTCGAAATGTTTGATAAGTAACTTTGTAGGAGGAAATGTTCAATCGAGAAAAATATGATGCTGGTTTGCATCAACTTCAATTGGCATCAAGTCAATGACATATTCTTCTAAATATCTTATGGGACTTTAGTGGTTTCGTGATTATTCATCTCACTCGCATAATATTGATCTTTTGAACGATGTGTCGAGTAATACACATCAATGCCGAAAATAAGATTCACATATCTTCAGCAAAATGATATGGAAAAAATGACCTTCATTATCATTTATTCGTTGTGAAGATTTGTCATGTGGAACTTAGCTTTGGAATGAGATAATCTATGGTTACATAAGAAAGAAATTAAACGAAGGTTTTGTAGCATTGCCAGTAAATAGACGCATGAATACAAGATGTTTGTCAATATGAGATATTTGTATGCATGTTAGGAGTTTTTTTTTTATTTTTACTTACTATGTTTAATTTTCGAGTTATGGAATCTATCGTAAAATATTGATAGAAATATAAGATGTTTTGTTGATTTTAAATACTAAATTCACTAGATATGTAGGTTGTTTTGTTGTTTTAACTTTTAAAGTAAGATAATAAATAAAACAATATTGATAGAAATAGGAAGAATGAAATTCTGTTACACTTAGGATTACAAAGAACGAAATAATCAAATGAAAAATATATGAATTATTCAGAACATTACTAATAAATAGGGCTTTAGCAACCTTTTTTTAATCTATTGCAGCAATTTAAAACACTTAAGAAATAAGTGCAGTTATTTAATGACCACTACAAATCCATTATATTTGTATTTGCTAGTAATGTATTTTGCGACGGTTTGTGAACCGTTTCAAATCTGCAATAGCAGCGATTTTAATCGCACTTATTCTACTATAGCAGTTAAAACGACTGCTATTCTTTAGCATGAAAAAAAAAGTCAAAACCAAATTTTGTGATCAAATTACAAAAATGAATAAGAGCACTGCACATATATGAATTAAGTAAATATTATTATCAGCAAATAAATCTTATGTTTGATGTGTTAAAATTAAAAAGAATAAAATTATAAACAATCAAGCAATTGATTAATACTTAAAGGCAATACTACATACAATGCAAGAGAATAAGTTTATTAATTTTACGCAAATTATAATAATTTTAAAATTTTCATACTATAATATATATTCAAAAACACAAATCAACATATTTTTTTCTATTTTCATGTCCTTTGAGAAACTCTTACATGATAAATTACTACAATTGTGCCTATCACAACAGGCTGTATGATTTCATGACTCAAATTTAACATAATAAGTCAAACAAAAAAACTCCTACCAAGTAGCCATAGATACAAAAATTTCGTATTCATTATTCCATTTACAAACATCGCTACAGAAACTTCTTTCCACTTGTACCTCAGGTAGCCATAGATAATCTTCTACCAAAACTAAAGATATACATGACCAATCTTTACAAAGAATAAGAGGCAATGAAGGCCATTTTTGACAATCATCTTGCTGAAGATCTTGGAAGCTTGTTTTTGATATTGATGTATATTACTTGATATCTCGTTCAAAAGATTGATTCCATATGAGCTAGATAATCATCACGAAACCACCAAAGTCCCAAAAGATATTTGGAAGTAATATATCCTTGATTTGATGTCAATTGAAGGCGATGCAGACCAACATCATACTTTCCTCTATTGAACATTTCGTCCTACAAATTTACATATCAAACATGTTGAATTTGTATGAATGAACATTGATATGAAACATATATATTCATAATAGATAGATGTTCAATGTTAATAACTACTAAATCATAAAAGTAGATAAAATTCAAGAAAAAATAATTGCTTACCAATCCAAGCAAGAAGAGAACATTAATATTTTCACTTTTAGCACAAGTCTGAAGAAATCCTAAATAGCCTTGCTTGTCTTGCCAACACATGCTCCAGTCTTCTACATTCATGTATTTTCCTATTCTTTTTTATGAACATATTGCATAAAAATTCTTACATATGTACAAAATCAGTACTATTATATATAATTATCTTGTGATTAGATAAATAAAAAAATTAATCTTAATTAATAAGTAATGATATTTTTTTAAAAAATAATACTTACGTTTGTTTGAAATATCAAATATCACTGATAGGTGTTGGAGAGGTTATAAGAGCTTCTAATAAAATTCTCTCTAAAAACTCAGGTGGCAAGGAAGAAATGTCACTCTCTTTTTGATTTATTCATGATTCCCTTGTTCTTCATGTTTGCTCCTATTTAGTAGCAGGAAACAAGCAGATCATAAAGAAGAAAAGGAAAAATAAATATATTTTTAAAATTATTTGCATCATCCATCATACAATATATATTTTCACTGAATAAATTGTCTGATTGCATGCTATTATATCATTAAGTCGTTCAATGAGTTAAAAAAAATAAAAAAATTTGGCTACTTAAAACTCTGAAAGAATCCAAGTATAGATGAGAAAGAAGTAATGGAAATCTTAAGAATAATTAATGAAAAAAATCAGAAAACACAGCATTGTGCTTATTAACTCAAAAATAGATAAGAAAATTATTTTTTTTCATTTTTTAAATAAAATCACCTGTAAGTTCTCTGTAGAAATATACCGAGGAATCAAGATCTTTCAATCCATGATACCTTACGCTTGCTGTTCTGCTGGTCAATACCAAGGCAGGAAACCCGTGGATCCCATATCTTGAGAAAACACTGTAAAAAAGACAAAATATGAAACACTGTAAAGTTGTCTTTTGATCAGAAAACAAATCATTCACTAGAAATCAAACATACATGACTGGTCGTAACTATACCTGGGCATTGCAGAATATTGTTCAACTGCAAAATGCCTTATTTGTGGAAATATGGAGCCGAGTGTATCAAATATGGATCTACACTTTTGTGAGAATGGGCGCCACGATGCATAGAAAAAAGCTGAATAATAGGTTCCATCCTGAGCATGAATCATCTCTCTATCGAGAGTGCCACCATTAACCTGCCCATTTGAGGTGTAAAACTTTGCTCAAAAGACCAAACACAATTCATCAATATACTTATAATCTTAATCTGCTTCAAGCAATTATTTTAGAAATTATTCTCCAACAAAACATTAAAATGGTGATTCATGAAAAAGATCTAAAGATTGCAAGATAATAGTGAATATTTTCATGTGGGTGAATATTTTCGAAATAAACCTTCATAATTCCCTCCCAATTTTAGTTTTCTATGGTAAGTAATCAAAGGTAGAATTAATCTCCTTTGAGCCTCCCTCTCTCCTTCCCTGTCGCCCACACTAGTTGAGCCCACAGGACTCTTCCACTCGCCAGCTAGACCGCCCCCCTTTGCCAGGGCCAGGTTTATTGGCTGGACTAGCTTAGCCAGTCCATATGAATATTTGTTATAGTCTTCCTTAGGAATAGTAGATTTAGTTTTATATTTGTTTCTAAAAAATTCTCACGTTTGCTTATATATATAATGTTGTAGTAGAAAACATCAATCAATGAATATTATCTCTCATTTTGAAGCATAAGCTTTATGATTGTGTGTTTATTCCCTGGATTGGGAAAACACTCAAACTTATTCCCAATCTCCTAAGGGATGTGGCAAGGCAAGCTAATGATCCTTCAAAATCTGCACCATTGAATTACCTTAAGATTAATGACAACTCTCCAAACAAATCAATACTAATCTCAATTCTCAAGGCTTCATTTGGGATCTAATTGTCAAAATTAAATCCAACACTAATCTTAAGCCCAATGCTTCCAATTTTACATATATTACATTCAGGGGTATGATGTTATAATCTTAAAGGTGAAGGGTCACAAATCCGTAAACCACAAATGAACTTTAGGGAAAAAAAATTCCCTGCTCAAAGGGAGCTCCCATAAATTACGAATTTCAAAGAAGAAATGTAAGAACCATTGGGAGATGCCATTACATTTTTTTGGAAAATAAAAAAATTGAGCTATTTTCATCCTTTCTTTTGACTTACTTGAACGTCAGAATGTCTACCCAGAGAAACACTCCTTTGGTCAAACTCACAAGTTTTTAGGTTTTTGTGTAGGAATCTAGTGCTCATTTGAAATAGCATATCACAAAGAGCTTTATTGAATTCGGATCACATACAAAATGCAACCGTAGTGAACGAACAAACAAAAAAATTACATGCTCTGCATTGATCTTGCGATATACAATCTATAAATCCAAAAATAAATTGATTTGTTCATGCTACCAAAAGAAAGCTCGGCAGATCATACCTCGTCAGAAACAGAGCGCTCGATCCTTAGAGGGCACTGCCGCGATCTTTGAGCTTCCACTACTTCGACTACGTCCGACGGAGGACAGGTCACCGGCGCCGCAAAAAATCCGCTACAGAGTGACAAAGCTAGAAATGAGAAGGGGAGCAGGAAGACGACGAGAAAGTGAGATGCCGACATAGTTGGAAAGAAAATCGCTCCAAGGGAAGATGTGATGAGAAAACGAACTGAAAATTCTGGGACTGCCTCTCTCTTTCTCTAAATACTCGGGCGGGCCGGGTAAATTATTGGGTTCGGACATACTGGACTGCCGTTCGTAGCCAATCAAAATGCTCCACCTCATCCTCTACTCTGTAATAAACTCGATCGCCCCTAGACTTCCACTCGGCCGCCGATCACCACCCGACTTAAGCCTGATTGTCGTCGGACCACCGCCCGGCTGCCAACAACAGCCGAACTTCCACTCTTCCGCCAACCGTTGTCAGACTTCGGCCCGACCTTTGTCAGACCACCATTCGGCTGCCGACTGCAACCAGACTTCCACTCCGCTCCAAGCACCGCCGGACTTCAGCCAAACCTTCATTGAACCATCACTCGGCCACTGCCAGACTTCCACCCAATTATCGACTTTAGCTCAATTTTGATGCAATATAGCTTTGGTTAATCAACTAAAATTTAAAGTTGGGTTTATGTTAAAATATTTATTTGATTAAATTTGAGGTTCAGACTGGCCCGGGAACTCAAAATTGATCCAATTAATATTCAGGTTGAACCTTAAATATGTCAAGTTTAGGATAAGGATAATACTTTCGAGTATGTGTCATGTTCGGATTAAACCGGTTGTTTTGATCTAGCTTCCATGTTGGTCAACAAATTTGGGATGGCTTTAGTACTGCTATTTAAAATTTATTTTTAGTATAAAATTTTAATTTTTTATTAAAATATAACTTTAAAAAGCAATAAAAAAAATCATCCCAAATGAAACTTAAGGCTTATTTGAGACAATTTTTTACCACTTTTTTTCTTTTCTTTTAAAAAAATTTTGTATTAAAAAATTATGGTATAATTCATGAAAATAATTGTCCCAAATTAAAACAGCTTTCTTACTATTTTCTAAAATAATTTTTAGCATAAAAACTTTTAATTCAAAAAAAAATTATTTTAAGTAGTCAAATAACTATCCAAAACAAAATGTAATGCTTCGTTTGGGACTGCTTTCTTACTGCTAATAAAATTTTTATGCAAGAAAATTATTTTAATAAAATAGTAAAAAAAAATCATCCCAAATGAAACATAAATTTATATTGCATCCCAATGCTCTGAAACGGGCTTTTTTTCCCTGAATGTAATCTCGGTAAATTCACTTTCTTGCACAACTCCAACCTTCAACATTCTTTTTATCTCCTTTATCTTTTCCAATAAAAAAAGTAAACTATTTATATATTAAAAAAAGTTTAGATTCTATGAACATACAAGACAATTATATGAAAAGACCTATGTTGCACCGATACGGATACAGCGACACGGATACGACACGATACAGATACGGGACACGTCAATTCTTAAAAATATGGGATATGGATACGACGCGGATATGACATTATAAAATATAAATTATACCTAAAAATTAATAAATTAATCAAAGCGTAATATTTTAAATGACAAAAAAATTGAAAGCAACATCATTTGTTGCATTGTATCTTATAATATCGAAATAAAAGCATTAAATATTTAAATATCTAGTACTGTAGTACAAAAACAAAAATCAAAACATAAATTGTCCAGCACTAGAAGTTTTAAGTAAATTAAACCACATGAATTTAAAACACGAAAAATTTTAACCTGCACCCTAACAGGATTCGACCTATAAGAGTTGTTTTAAAGCTTTCTATAGCTTCTCAGTGCCACTTCATACCATTTGGTACCTCTCAGTACCGAGCGGTACTGAGCATTGATATTAAGCATGATACCGAGCATTGCGGAGAAGCACTAAGCGGTACCGAGTTCCGATACCGAGAGGTACTGAGTTTCGATACCGAGCAATACCGAGCGGTACCAAATATCAAGCGTTGAGGAGAGGTACCGAGCAATACCGAGCTCCGGCTCTGTTTTTTTTTTTTTTTTTTTTTTTTTTTTTTTTTTTTTTTTTTTTAATAGAACACGCGTATCTGCTACGTGTGTCGGGTCAAATTTAAATAATATTTTAATTGGCAATGCCAAAGCCGTATCTGACCCGTATCTGTGCCGTATCGGAGGCATATCCATATCCGACACGTATCCGATACAACATGCCTCATAAATAGGAGTATCCGTGCTACATAGGAAAAGACTAAAATATTAAGACAAAATTAATTTTCTTAAGACAATATATTACCATGTACAAGACACTTATACCAAGAATAATGTGTACAAACAAATAAGATACCATTTTATTGCCAAAGTGAGCACTCCTACGCATGTACAGCACCTCATTAATCCATCACTGCAGGTCTTAAAAACAAGTAGAAATCTCTACTACAACAATAACATTTACAGTGGAATCATAACAAAATATAGCACCAGTGCAAAGTCTTGGATTTCCTGTAGCATTTTTGCAACAAATCCAATTCACCAGGAGAGATAAGTAGAAAATATCCAACTTTTAGATATAAACATGAACTAACTAATAAAACAGGTGAGGAAGGTGCCTGCAGTGACTCTGCATCAATGGTTCAGGTATCATTCAACTTCAACTTATCTCTCCAGCTTCGCAAATTTTAGGTTTCATTTAAGACAGCTTTTTTACTGCTTCCTAAAACGGCTTTCTCGTACAAAAAGGAGAATTTTTGTACTAAAACGTTACATTGAGAAGTAACAAGAAAGCCGTCCCAAATGAAGCATTAATCTTCTACTTCAACAAGCCGACCGCAGACCCACTTTCGCCTTTTTGTGGAACCTATATTGGAATCACTTGGCTTTCTCGAGACTAAATCAGTCCTATCTGTTCGATCTAACTCAATTCTATTAGGATGGTAAGGTGGAAGATGGTTTTGATATGCCTCAGAACCTTCCTCAACTTCTATTCCATACCTCGTTTGGTATTCCTTAATGGCATCGCTATTCTCAGTGGAAGACAGATTATGGAATCCATTCACTTGGTTTATCGCTGTAATTGTATTGTTCTGCGACTCGACTACACTTTCTTGTGGCATTAAGCGTCTACTCTCAATGCTTCTAAGTGATAAGTTTGCCTCAGCAATCAGCTTCCTGGTTTCCAAAAGTGAAGCTTTTGCAAGTGGGCTCTTCAGTGCAGCTACCTCAAGAGCTTTTGCAGCTCTCTCAGCTTCAGCGATCAGTAGCCTGAACAACCAATGGAAAATAAGCTTATGATAGAAAAATTAGCATTGTAACAACAACAACAACAACATCAAGTCTTTATCCCACTACATGGGGTCGGCTACATTAATCATTTTTCTCCATTGTGTCCTATTAAAAATCAAATTCTCATTTAAATCTAATAAAGAAAGATCATTTCTAATATTTTCTAACAAAGTCTTTTTAGGTATACCTCTACCTTTCTTAACATAAGTCAAATCTAATACCTCTACTTTCCTAACCGGGTCATCGGAAGGCCGGCGTTTTATGCGCCCAAACCATCTAAGACGACTCTCTCTAATCTTATCTTCTACTAGAGCCACTCCAACCTTTTCACGTATATGCTCATTTCGTATCTTATCTCTAAGAGTAAAACCACTCATCCACCTGAACATCCTCATCTCTATCACAAACTAGCATTGTACAAAAGCATAAAAATACATACAGGAAGAAGTTAAGGCATGTTAAGAAGGTTTGGTCGGGTAATAAGTAAAACATACTTGGCCCTCATTGTGGCTTCTATTTTCTTGCTTTCCATTTCTGCTCTTTCTGCTTTAATTTTCTTGAGCAACTCGAACTTGGCACTGGACATTGGATCCTTGTAGGAAGGGGCAGAGTTTTTTCTTTTCTTATATGTTACTTGCTTGAAGCTCTTTAGTTCCATGTTCAATTGAGTAGTCTGTTCAGGTTTCTTCTTCATCGAAACGCCTTTTTCAGTCGAAGTTTCTCCAGTTGGTTTTCTCCTGGGCTTCTTTTCTGATCCAGTTACTGTACCATGATACTTGATCAATGCAGTATGAACTCGATTACGATATTCCTGATATATGGAGAGAAGATTAGAAAATCACCAAAGAATTTTGGTAATTTGCAAGGGGAAAGAATTAAAATGGGAGTTTCAAGGTTGGTTTCTTACAGGATCAGCCCATTTGGCAGTGATAGCCTCCGAGATCTTCCGCCGCTGCTCGAGAGATTTGGGCGCCCTCTTACTGCCTTTTGGCCTAGGCATTGATTTCCTCTTCTCAATGCTCTCCAACCACATCTGCTTCAGTTGTTCTCCTATAACCTTATAGGAATCCCATAGTAGCTCAACCTCACCAGCATAACCCTTCCTTGATGCTTCTGCAATCAGGTTTTGCCATTCAAATATACATCTGTCTTGAACCATCAAAATTCCGCGCCGTCTTTGCCAACCCTGCCTCACCCCTACTGCAATTTTCTTCTTTGTTTCATCACTAAAAGGTGATAAAAAAAGAATACATAAAATCAAAGTGTATTGTCATATAAGACTTATAAATTCAATCAATAGAAAAGCTCCAATAAAGGTTTCATTTTCATGACACATTTATACTAGAAAGATTACAAAACATTAAGCCTTCGTTTGGGACGACTTTCTTATTGCTTCTTAAAGCAACTTTCATGTACAAAGATTTTAATTTTTTTCTAAAAAATTGCTTTAAGAAGCAGTAAGAAAGCCACCCCAAACGAAGCCTAAGATACCATCTCAGATAATGTATCATGTTGAAAAGGACTGATAACAAGCAGATCATAGCTAAATTAACCTCATTTCATCATTTCTGTTTAAAAAATCTATCATAAGGAGGGGCAGTTCCACATATGGTTTGATATTTGACTAGGATGTACAAATTGTTTTACTTCCTTGCTAAAGCCGAGATAACTATTGATCTAATTTCTTAATTTTGCAATATTTCAAATAATTATCTTAAATTTCTTGGAGCTTTTATCTATAAAGAAGAATAGTTGTAGAAAGCCTAAAGCCAGTGATGTACCATAATGTTTGCTGTAAAGAATATACAAGTTGTCTGGAGGCTTCCTAATGTAGCACAGTTAACGGTCTAGGTTTCACAAATACAATTTAGAATAAGATGTAATAAAAACACAAAAGATTACAATATGTGGGGCTACCAACTCCTAACTTTCACAAAACTAGGTCATTTTTAATTTAAAAAATAACAAACGCACTTCTTTTGTTTCAAATAATAATTTAATAGTCTCCAAAATCTGAAGTCTTAGAAAAAAAATGTTAAGAGATAGAAGATTTTAGTGCAATCAAGAATTAGACTACGAAAGAATTTATCATGTTTTACACTTAACAAAATTTCAATGACACACACAATAAATATTAAAAAAATTAATAGCACAAATAAGGCAATAAATCACCCAAAAAGAAGATCCTCGCCTCACTTTGGTATAAGGAGACTTGCCCGGAAGTAATTTTCAAAACCAACGTAGCACTCAATAAATAGTTAAATACACATCTAACCAGCATAAATGCAGTAATCAAGGAAAAATAAAATTTATTTTAATATCAATGTTCAATAATTTTTATATGTTTTTGATGGGTGAGTGATTAAAATTTGCTTTACTGACTAAATTGAGAAGAATGGAAATGTTTAATGGTTCAAATAAAAAAGAGTCAATAAAGTATTGAGTTTGAGTTACTCTATCAGAAGACAGAGAGGAGAGCACAAATAAAAGAGACTGAAGTTTATAGTGGTTCGATTCACACACTACGCACTCTTCATAGCAAGCCATGCAAATATTCCACAATGACAACAAAAGAAGAGTATAGCAATAATATTATGGAATGACTAGAGAGTTTTCTCGAAAGTGCTGAGAGGAAAAGAGAGTAGAAGCCATGAATTTTCATCAAAGAAGAGTTACACTTGAGAGAAACGTACATAATACAATAGTTACAATAGACAAGAAGAGTATGGCATATGATGGCACTCAAGCCTTCAACAAAGCTTTGAATGGCATTTTCAAAGTACTAAGCACAATGCGTTCATAAGGGCTCTTTTTTTGCTTCAATGTTCAAAATGCAAACCAAGGGTGTTCATGAGGCATATATCATATACACGTATTTATTATTATTATTATTATTATTATTATTATTATTATATATATATAAAGTTATTTACTTAACTAAACTTAAATCACATCGAATACTTTTTTAGCAAATACAATGATACTTTCAACAATAATAATTTATAATTGTTCAAAATCTGAAGAAAAATAATCAAATATATAAATAATAGAAATAATGAATTGATTTAGGAATAACTAAAAATTAAGAATAACTTGTGAGATGGATTTACCAACTAGAGATTGAGAGACAGAGAGAGTGTGAGTTAGAAGCTACTAATGCCAACAACCAAACTACTAAAGCCAACCACCAAGAAGCAGCTGGATGAATGAAGAACTAATGAACAATGATTTAATGATTACCAAAAACAGTGAAAAGAAACAAATGATTGTGCCAGATTATTGTGGTAGGTGTTGAAACATCCCATGAAATATAAATCAGGATTCTACTCTATATGCAACATATGCGATTTGCTGCATGATTGCACCTCATAAGCACATGATGCACAGGTGCGCTTTTAACAACATTTTCATTGATCAGAAGATTCTAATAGACTCTAAGATGTATATTAAATGTCACCATCAACCTTTGATAGAGGCTTAAATATTAATAATAAGGAAAGAGGAATACTTAGAGAGTTAAAAGAGGAAATATGAGGAAATGCTTCGGAATCCATGGCACAACCCACCTCCCTAGTGACTTTGTTGCAGCAGTGTTTCCCCAAAATAAGGCCATGTTGGTGATACTAGACCAACTAAAGAAGGGGTACTATTTATAACCCAATAATAAACCAAAATAGTTAAATTCATGGAACCCTCAAAATATTTAATAAGAAATTGTAAGTACTATTCCTCCATGTAAGGAAATTCAAGAAGAAAACGCCACCCGATACTATAGTAATCATAAAAGAAGGCCTCAGTATTGTATCAATCAACAATGTATAAGGCTCTCAAAGTATAGCAATCCTAGGTAATAAGGAATCTCAACATTGAAGCAATTAAAGGATACTACAGCAATCTAAGGCAATAAGGAATCTCAACATTGCAGCAATTAAAGGATATTATAGCATTCATCGAGTACTGTAATAATCAACAGTTACTATAACAATCAAAGACTTTCTTGAGGATCCAGAATTATAATAAAGTTAGCAAAACTATGATAATCAAAGACATCCTGGTTTGCATCATTCTAATTGACTTGGAAAATTTTGGCTCCGGTGAATTAAAGATTGGATATTTATCATGCAAATCTAGCAAAGTTGATATGCTTCCAACAAGGTAGCCCATGAATCGTCACAAATAAACCTTTCATCCCAAGATACAAGAAACCTGTGGCACTCACTAATAATTGTGAAAAAATTCATGTACAAAAGATGACTTCAAGAACAAAAAGATTGGACTAGTCTAGTAAAGAGATGGATGTGAATTTGCAATGAGAAAATCAAAAGAGAGACGAATCCACAATACTAGCAAGAGGTTCATGAAATAAGCTTAAATTAGATACAATGATGCTTAGAATACTACCATAGCTTTCAAATTTTCTATTTCAGAAGTATTCATCCCAATGTATTGTATGGTAGGGGTGTAAGTGAACCGAACTGGCTCGCGAGTTGGCTCGAGCTCGACTCGTTTATGGGCTCTCGAGCCAAGCTTATCGAGCTCACGAGTCGAGCTCGAGCTCAAACTCGAGCTCGTTTATTAAACGAGCTCGAGTTCGAGCTTGAGCCTGCTCGAATAAATATTAAATTTACATTATTTTTTTAATCCGGTCTAAAATATTATTAACATGAAAAAAAATATTTTCTAATCCCGCCTAAAATATGCTGGGCTCGAGGTGTTGCAGCTCGCATACCGAAGTTGCACTAGGCTCCAAGACGAAGTGATAGATGGATGCCTGGATTTGAATTTTAAGAGAGAGGCATTAGTTCTCTTGAGCATTAATGTATTTAATATTAGTTCTCTGGCTTTGGGCGGGTGGGAGAAAAGACTGAAAAGTTGAATCCAAATTTCGGGAATCAGGTGAGGGGGAGAAAAGCTTATTTTGGCGTAAGTTTTAATATTAAATAATGAAGTATTAAATGTACCGCAGCAAACATTTAATATTAAAGCTGAATTCAGACTTTGGGAATCGAGCAGGCGGGGCTCGCTTGCAGGAAGCCCTACGCTGGCTCGTCGAGCCGCTCGAGGCTCGTCGAGCCGCTCGATAAGCTTGCTTGCAGTCCAACGAGTCGAGCTCGAGCTCATCTTCTGAGCTTGACTCGAGCTCGAGCTCGAGTTTGAGCTGATTACCTGACCGACGAGCCGATCTCGATAAGAGCCAAAACTCGACTAGACTCGACTCGTTTACAACCCTATTGTATGGTCTTAGAAGACCCATCTTTCTTATAGTTGATATATTAGAATCCTCACAAGAAGCATTTAAAATTTTAAATGTACCATTACACTATCATCTATTTTAATTCAACCCGCACTTATTCACAACAACAGTATACTTATAATTATTATTGTTAAATGGTAGAAAATTTGTAATGGTAGAGTGTTTAATATCTTAACTTTATACAAATATCTGACAAGCACAGATAGAAGTTTGTAAAAGATACTAGAATTTTTTAAATGGAAAACTCAAAAATAAAAAAACACAAGGTCTGGCCCAGTTGAATGAATTCACTAAATAATAGAAGATAAGAGAATTCTCCCTTCCTCACAATGGAAGAAGTTAGGATTATACACAATTACGAATAATTATATGATCTTTGTTGTAAATATTTAAAAAATGGGATATTACAAGCAGACAAAATAGTCAAGTGACAATAGTCAGATAATAAAAATTTGATAATAGTAGAGGTGATTTCTGATGGTGGCCATCAGAGGTGATCTCCAAAAAATCAATAGAGTTCTTTAATTCTCTTATCTCTTAACCCTCAGCCCCGCGCAAAGAATAGAGCCCTATTTATGATTTTTAGAGTATTTGGGTAAATTGACCATAATCCAAGACACTCCATCAAATGATCTATATTGATACCCTTTGTTCATAGATCATTCATATATATCATTGGAGTGTCTTAATGAATTCACAATAAAAAAATATAAGGCCGGTAAGATTCATCTCGTCGAGATGCTTGATTTAACTATAAGCAAATAAGATTTAGAAACTATTTGGAGACACCCTTGATTAATATTCATGAGTTTTCAAATATGCTTCAATTGCTTAATTTGGGTTCATACGGAGTCGGATCAAATCATTTTTTGTGTTGATGAGTTCATCTTATCGAAACATTCAATTTGACTGTCTGCTAAAATCGGAGTTTATATGGCTTTGAATTTAATTCTAAAGTTTCTAATTCAAATA